GGGATGGACGGAAGATATTGATTTTCCTTCACGGGTTTAGCTGGGTTGTTGGATCAACGAAAGAAAAATATTCCAATTGAGGGCGGGGTGAGCCACAACAACTCAATTTAATACAAAGGAGTATTATTGTAAAGCTGCTTAATGTAATTGAATAAGCGCATATCGGAATCGTCCCAAAAAAAGGGGGGACTCATCTAGTCTTGATCGAAGCTCTTTTTTTATTTCCCTTCAATTTTATCATTGAGAATGTCTCGTTAGTGTTGTTTACCCTCGGATGCGAAGATTTAACTCGTACGGGAAACAAATTATTAAATTTATTATGTTCTTAATTTTTTTTTTTTATTAGATTATTCGTAGGCACCATTTTTCTGTATCGCGGTGAAAAGGGTTGAGCTCCCCCCCCAAAGAAAGGAAGCGAAAATAAAGAAACTAAAAAAGAAAAGAGAACTAGAATTTGAGCTGAATTTGAGCTGATAACCCTTCATGTTAACCAGCTGATGACTACGGTACCGTGTCGAGTTGGGTAATGGCGAGTTGGGGGAAGGAGGGAGGAGGAAGAGAGTTGGGGGAAGGAGGGAGGAGGAGGAGGAGAGTTGGGGGAAGGAGGGAGGAGGAGGAAGAGAGTTGGGGGAAGGAGGGAGGAGAAGGAAGAAGGGCCCACCTTGTAAGGGTCGAGGATAGTGAATCAGAGGGAGAAAGTGAAGAAGGGGGTAAAAGTGAAACAGAGGGGAGAAGTGAATCAAAGGGGGAAAGTGAATAATTTTTAAGGGAAAGATTTGGAGGGGAAAACGGGAATAAAATTCAATAAATAGCAATGAGCCTAGCTCGGTTGGTACATCTTGAACTGTTGAAAGGCAGACCCAAGCTCGAATCCGTATGGACCTAGCTAGATGAATGCAATGATATAATCCGAATTACATGGGGCCGGTCAGTTCAATGATGATAGCACAAGGCCGTCGCCCCTTTTTTTTGTAGGGATATCATAATACCCCAGGGTCGAGGTATATGCCAAAATGCCCCTAAAAGATGTTGGTAGAGCGGAATCCCCCTCTGACAAAAAGAATATTTTGTGAAATTACCCTGGCGTCCACCCCTATCTTTGCAATATACCCCTACCAGGTACCCTCCAACTTTGCAAAATGCCCCCCCTAGTACTTGTCAACTTTTCCAAGGCGCTATTGCAAAAGGCCAAGGCCCAAACGGGGAGGTTGAGATTGCAAATTTGCCCTCCCGCCTGACAGGCGCACGACACAAAAGATTTCGGCTCAAAAGGGCATTCCGCATTACCTATATCTTTCAGGGCATTCATTTATCTCAACTTATGGGGGTACTTCGCGAATTATCCCATTTTTTTGAACATTGTTTAAAAAAAAACAAAAAAAAAGAAATAAAGGGAAGGAAATAATTAAACTGGGTTGGATGGGCAAAGGAGGGAAGAAATAGTGTAAGTGAAAAAAGAGGACGTGAAAAGAAAAAAATCGATGGAGGTAAAGAAGTTTAGGGAGGGAAGAAATAGAGTGTAAGTGAAAAAGAGGACGTGAAAAGACAAAAAGAATTAAGGTGAAGATTTTTGTGTTACCAACCGGCCTGCCCGCTTACCTTGGTTGCCCGGAGGTCCCTGCAAAAACAAAATCCTAAAAAGTCGGGACAAAATTATCCCTGCAAAAATATAATCTTAAAAATTCGGGAAAACAAAATCCCTGCAAAAAAAACCTTAAAAATTCGGGAAAAAACTATGTTGTGCAGAAACAATTCGGGGAAAAAATTACGTCGTGCAGAAAAATGAACTGGACAAGTTTTCTGTCGGGGTGACATCGGAATTCTTTGCCAAAAGAAAAATGAAAATTAAGTGACAAAATTATTCTTTATTCATTTTTGGCCCGGTTGGGCGAGTGGTTTCGGGCCGCTCTGGTAACGTGAAAAAAGAATTGTGAAAAAATAAATTAATGTGGAATACAAAATTAATTTGAGGAAGTAAAAGGCAAAGAATTGAAGTGAATTACTGTAAGTGAAAATGTAATTAAAGAAGTAAAAAAAAGGGCAAAGAATTGAAGTGGAGAAACGTCTTCAAGGTAAGACAGAATAGGATAATTTGCAAAATACCCCCCTAAGATGATTAATGTGCCAAAATGCCCCTAGGAGATGTGAATAGAGCGGAATGCCCCCTCTGACGAAAAACATATATTGTAAAATACCCCTGGCGTCGGTTGGAGGCCCCATCTTTGCAATATATCCCTTTCGGGTACCGTCGATATTGGAAAAATGCCGCCGTGAAGGATAATTTGCAAAATACCCCCTACGTTCGAATACGGAAGAGGTTCTGAACAGGGGGAGTTGTAAGTAAGAATATAAAAAATGAATTGATGTCTTTTTTGTTTCCTTTTGTTTTTTTCGGTTTTGCGCTCTGATAAGTTTATGACAATATATTCCAGGGGGATTTGTACCGATTTGACGAATTTCAACAGAACCGTCGGGTCCTACTACCGTCTTCACCCGAATAGAACGCCCGGTCATTACACCTGTATCTGGACTGAAAGTTGCCCCAAATATAGAATTAAAGACCGGGCGCTCTAGGGTGTAGTGAGGGCTGCTGATATCACCCGCCTAGTAGAGACCGCAGGCGTTTCACACGTTAAAAGAAAGAAAGAGGCTTTTCTTTGTTGCATGGCTTGGAGTGTCATGTAGAAGGTTGGACAAAGCCACTGTCTCAGTTGCCCTCCCTGTGCACACACAGAATGCAAAAGAACGTTACCTGCCGTTCAGCAGAATGGTGAAAAGAGGTGCGTTGCGTTCCCAGTTTGTCCATAAGAGGTGCGTTGCGTTCCCAGTTGTATCTCTATGTTTTCCACGTTTGCTTGCCGTGACGGGCAAGAAGTAACCGGACTGGTGCCCACCAGAACAGAAGGGGCGTCTGTGTGAGTTTTGGGAAAATATATATAGATATATGTTGTCACATTGTGTATCAGCTGTCTCTTATACACATCTAGATGTG